AGAGCATGCTTGAAAACATACACTCCATAAGTTGTTATGATGTTGAAAGAAATGTAAGCAGTGAAAATTAGAGTTTTTATGAAAAGAATAATTGGATGGTAAGCACATCATAGAGAAGTCATTAAGCTTTGAAAAATACACTATTTTATGCAGCAAGCTTCTCTGTATAAATATATGATTTATTTAAAATGTAATGTATAGTCTTTTGGGAGAATGTATGCTAAATAATCTACTATAATGGTAGTACTAGGTATGACAGTTGCAAAAATGAGTTTTGGGGACTTTCAATCGGAAAAACAGGCAGAAGGAATGAAAAAGAAGAGCAGGGCACCTGTTGGGTAGATGCTGTTGGTTATAGTGGTTATTTTCTTGTAATGTTCATTTCATAGAAGAAACTAAGGTGCACTACTGTCCACAGCCACTTGATTTAGGAGGCAGTTGAACATAAGGTAGATTCAAATATGTCTGACATATGGCTTTTTCTCCTAATCTTCGCCAGGATGTATTTGTTGTCTTGTTGATAACCATTCTCACTGGGGCCAGATGAAAATCAGTGTAGTTTTTATTTGCACTTTTCCTAATAGCTAAAGATTTTGAACATTTTTTTCATATATTTATTGACCATTTGTACTTTTGAGAAGTCTTTGTTCAGGCTGTTTGCCCATTTGTCGATTGGGCTATTTGATTTTTTTGGTGGTAGGTTCCTTACAATTCTTCGTCTGTTCTGGATCTTAATTTTTCAGAAGAGTAGCTGGTAGAGATTTGCTCCCATCCTGTAGGGCATCTCTTCATTGTTGGTTGTTTACTTAGACGTGTAGAAACTTTTTAATTTAATGTCCCATTTGTTGTTTCTTACTTATATTTCCTGTGCTTGTGGAGTCCTGTTAGGAAGTCTTTGCCTATGTTTGTGGCTTCAAGAGTTTCCCATTTCCTTCTAGCAATTCCTAGGTCTTTGATCTATTTTGAATTGATTTTTTTTTTTTTTTTTTTTTTTTTTTTTTGTACATGTTGAGAGATCAGGATGTAGCTTTGGTCTTCTACATACGATCATTCACTTTTTCCACTACCACTTGTCAAAGAGGCTATCTTTTCTCCATATAACTTTGACTCCTGAGAATCACATGGCTGTATTTGTGTTTGTATGGGTGTGTATCTGTGCCTTCTATTCAATTGGTCTGTTTTTGTGTCAGTACTAGACTGATTTAGTCATTATGGTTTTGTAGTAGAATTTGTGATTTGTGTAGGTGTGGTCCTGAGGTTCAAATTTAGGTACACTCTTCCACTGAGTTACTTCCTAACCCTTTTTCATTTTCTGAAACAAAATATTTTGAGGCAGAATCTCAATAAGATGCCCAAAGGGGCCTAAAACCTGTGAACTCTTGCCTCAGTCTCCCAGAGTGCTAGGATTTCAGCCATGTGCCACTAAAGTTTTTTAGTGTTACTTGAATGTGGGTATTATGATGCTTCCAGCTCTTTTTTACTCAGGATCTTTTTGGCTATTCAGTCTTTTGTGTTTCCATGTGAATTTTAGATTTTTTTTTTTTCTATCTCTGTGAAGAATGTTACTGGAATTTTGATATGAATTGTGTTGAATCTGTAGATCACTTTTGGTAATATGGCCATTTTAACAATGCTGATTCTGCCAGTCTGTGAACATGGGAGGTCGTTCCAGCTTCTGTCTTCTTCAGTTTCTTTTGTTAGTGTTCTGTCATTTTCACTTAGAGATCTTTCACCTCTTTGATAAGGTGGGCCCCTTTGCTGCTGCTGCTGCTGCTGTTCTTTGAAGTTATTGTGAGATTGTTTTACTAATTTCTGTCTCAGTTCATTATTGATGGTGGAAAAATTACTAGTTTTTTTCTTAATGTTGATTTTGGTTTTTGGCTCTTCAAAACCCCAGCTTTTTAAACTTTAGGCTTTGGCCTACTTAGCCAGCTCTGTGTTCTGTGTGGCAGGGCCCAGATGGGAGCCTCTCAGGCTTACCCTGCCTGCAGTAGCAGGTGTTAGGATGTAGGCCCCCCTCCCCTTACTGGGGATTAAACTCAAGACCTTGGGCTTGCCAGTCAGGTACTTATGTCACTGAGCAATCTCCCTGACCCCTACTCTCACATTTCCAATTAAAGGGACACTAAGCTAATGCTAATTATGGGTATATTTCCTCTTAAGTTTAATGCATCATTTCATTCTATTTTATAGAAAAGTAGTGGAGGAAGAGAGTAAAACAATGTTTACAACTGGGTGTGGGGCTGGGGAGATAGCTTGGCCATCTAAGTGCCTGCCTGGCAAGTGCAACAACCCAGGTTTGATCCCTGGTGCTGCATTCTGTGCTGGCCACTGAAACCGGGTGTGGTGGCACATACATGTAATCCCAGTGCTGGGGAGGCTGCGACAGGGGGATCACTATGAGTCCAAGCTGCGTAGCAAGACCCTGTACCAAATAGTAAATAAATAAAAAGATTTTTAAAAAAATAAAAAAAAAAACTGGGTGTAGTTTTCTTTTGTGGTTTATTACCACCTATCAGTGTAACATTCTCCACACTTGGGATTGGACACAGCTGCCTTTTATTCTCTGCCCCTGAGTGGGGTCTCTCAAGTCACACCTTCAGGGTGAATGGCAGTCTGTGCAGTTCTGGGCCTGCTGGTCTGTAATCCTGATGGTAGTGGCGGTCGGGCACAGCGAGCAAGTGGTGTGCGCTGCCCAGAGTACCTGCTCTGCAGGCTGTGCCATCTCCACAGGAGGAGAGTCCTTGAAACTTGACTGCTCTTTTAAAAGGCGAAAGATTTACATGATCTGAAGAGAAACCAGAGTATTGAATGATCTTCTAGTGAATAAAACATTCACTAGATAGTGATACCTTCATTTGGCATATTTGGTTAATTTGAAAAAGAGTGAGGGTGTGTGACATATGTCAGCCTCAGTCATAACTGTAAAAGATAATCACTAGAAGTCAGTTTATTGCTCTCCAATTACACCTATCGATTGATTCCTTTTAAAATTCCTGAGCCATCATGTTTCCTCAGCTGCAGGAAGTAACTGAATTAAATAGAAATGTAGCTGTGGTGAAGGCTATTTATCCTGGGCTGTGAGCACATTATTTCAATATCTGATAACCATCACTTGGCTTCACAAAATCATAGCCCTTAATACATGTCTGTAGATGTCTGTCTTTAAATTATTCCTGAAGAAATCCTACAAATGCTTCCTTAGTCTACATTATGAACTAAACAGATAAATTCTGAATTTAGAGGTGTTTACCTTTTTATTATAGAGAAATTGTTCCTCTCCTAAATTCTGTGATGCTTCACATCCTCGCTGATCAGTTTGAAAAGAGAATACTCTTAGATAGGTTTTGTTTGCAGGGATTTCACACATTTGATGAAACATCCTCCAGTTCTTCCAACGTAAGACTTTATCTGTTTATGGGCCATCTAATCAAAAGCCCCATAGTGAATTCATGTTTAAATCTTCTGTGCATCTTGTATCCCAGAAAGTCATTGTCTGTAAATATTGTTAAATGTCTTAAGACAAAGAGTGCTGTCATCTGTTCATAGTGTCAGGTCTGTATGATTGTGAGGAACAAATTTATCTTGCTTATTTGTTTGGAGGTTTGAGGTAGCAAAACTCATTTGATCGTTGTCATAAACCTTCATCAGCTCCCTAGTGAGGTTTATTTTAACTTATGGAATAGCAGTAAGTTTTTGAAGGTGTAGAGGCGAGGTCAAATGAGAGGTGCAGTGTTATAAGATAAACCCTTAGATTTTAACAGTCCTTATGTTTATTATTTATTAGCTAAAGAAGATCAGTATGCAGGAAGAGAAGAGAGAGTGTTAGTATTTCAAGAAGACAGGTAGCATATATCTTGAAATGTTGTATGTATCATTAGCCAGTATTGCAAGGGTTATATTATACATAAATGTAGTCTCCTTTTTTCCCCTCTCAGTTTAAAAGATTGGTAATAACTGGAAAAAATGTAAGATTTCTGAGGGCAGTGTTTTCTTAGTCTCACCAACTGACTGGTACAAAGTAAGAAAGAGGTCCACAGATGTTTGCTGAATGAGTGAAAGTGTAACTGTTTCCTTTTACAATCATTTTCTCTAATGTGCGTGGAGTGGTAGAGCATTTGAAGGATTCTTTGTTTATTTATGTTTATTTAGTACAGGGTCTGCAGGGTCTCACTACACAGATCAGACTCCAAGTGATCCTCCTGCTTTCAGCCTCCCAAGTGCTGAGATTACAGGTGCACGCCACAACGCCCAGTCTCGGTCGCCATCTCAGCACACCCCAGGGACAGGGATAGCACGGCATGGCATGCACCTGCGCCTGCCTAAGCAGCTGCTTTAATCCGCTGAGCTATCTGGCCAACCCCAAATGTATTTATTTTAATAGAGGCTATTTTAAAACATGCACAAGTAGAGCATTGTGTGTGTGAGCATGAGCAGGTGTGCATGTGGTACACTAGTACAGTTACTTGTGTGGCAGTCTGTTGATTCTAAGATGCTAATTTTTTAACTATTAAATAGCAATCATAAAAGAACCTTCAAACTCTTTTCTTATCTAAGCTATTTCTTGCCCCTAAGTTGTATTTGTCATTACCAACTGCTTAATTCCCACCTGGATATATAAAAAGCATATTATATTTGACTAAATTAAGTGCTTGCCCAAGTTCATCTTAATTACCAAACCCACCTTTTGAAGCATTGGATGTAGTATCCCCCCCCCCCCCAGGACTGGGGATTATACTCAGGACTTTGTACTTGGGCAAGCACTTATTCTACTGGGCTATCTCCCTGGCCCAATATGAATTTAGTATTAAAGTTCCTTGCATTAAGATTTATTTTGTGATTTTTAGGGGTAGTAATTAGGATTTTGTGAATTTGAAAGTTCTTTCCTAACAACATTTTGGGCTCAACGATTAAAATAGAATACAGTATTAGAGTATTAAAATATCTTCATGAAGTTGTAGGCTCATGTCGTAACCCTGGCTTTCCTGCTCCTTCCACAGCTTCCTGCAGACTTCACCAAACTGCACCTCACCGACAGTCTCCACCCCCAGGTGAGCCACGTGTCTTCTAGCCACTCAGGATGCAGCATCACCAGCGACTCCGGAAGCAGCAGTCTGTCTGATATTTACCAGGTGAGGGGGCCTGCCCGGTAGCTCAGTTCTTTAAGTGGCTGCTTCAACAAAACAGTCAGGCCCAGGTTGCTTGGGTTCGATCCCCACAACACAATACAGCCAGTCATGCCTTGAAGGCATTCGGCGTTAAAAAAAAAAAAAAAAAAACACACACACTTCTGATATTTACCAGGTGAGAAGCTGTTTTCCTTGGCATTTGGTTCATTTTCACCCATTCCAAGGAGTTTCATGATTCTCTGTTGATACATAACGAATCTGTGTACATACATAATATGTGTGCATGTGTGTATAGATGTAAATGGTTATGCTTCATCTACACACATGGCGTTTAGTTAGGAAGTGGAGTTGTGAAATTGTACTTGATCTTCTGTTACCAGAATTTTAAACAGAGTAGTTGCAGTGGAATTCTCCTAGACTTTGAATGTTTTGTTCATTTGACTGTAGCTATTAGTGGGCTTATGACTGAACTGGAAAGCTCCACACTTACGCTTTCATAGCAACTTCAGTTTACTGAGGAGCTATACCTGTCTTCCTCCCTCTCCTTCCCTCCCTCCTTCCCTTGTTCCTTGGTGCTCTACCACTGAGTTACACCCCAGTCTTGTTTTTATTATTGCTAAAAGTAGGTGAACAAGTGAAATTAAGTACAAGACATTTTAAATCCTAAATTTAGTACATCTTAGAAATTAACTTTTAATTTTTAACTTTTTAGCATTTTTATTAGTACATTTTTGTAGTATGGAATGATTGCAGTTATCATAGAAGTACTTACTTTTCTGTACTTACTATATATAGTTACTGACTAGTAAACTTATATTTTAAACAGCCCTAAAATTATTTTTTTAAGTTTTTTGTTAGCTTACAAGCACAACCATTTAAATTTATTATTTTGTAATACAATTTCTGCTTTTTTAATGTGACTTTACAGATTTCTGTGTTGAACTATACAGTGTTAACTTGTAATGAAGTATTTGGGAAATGAGCCTGTTTGAAATGTTAGCAAAGGCAGTGGGCCAGGGCAGTTTTACCTCTGATGGATACATACATACATACGCATACACATACACACGTGTGCCCTGTTTGTGGGAGATGACTTTTAAAAATTTATTTAGGAGTTCCCTGATAGAATAAATAGTATAAATAAAAGGTTACTTTTGCTTATATACAATTACAAAATCATAGGCAAAATCCTTGTTTTCTGAACTTCGAAATACTGTATATTTTGAGGATCTGTGGTGGGAATATAATGAGATTAGAGCAATTTTTGTTCTCACTGCTCTCTGCAAACATGAAAACTTGATTGGTAGCACTATATTACAAAGGTAGTATGATAATGCAGTAACTTTTTTACATAATTTATTGAGGCATATTTTAGAGGGGTTCTAGCCTTCTGCATTGTTGCTTTTAAGTAGGCTGGATACATGTATGAAAATCTCCTGATGATACTTCTGTCATCCCTAGCTAGCATCACAGCATTTGAGAAAGCAAAGTGTGGCTACAGGCTCACTCCTTTGTAGCTGGAGCTCGCTACAAAGCTGGAAAACCTACAGTTCTCCTTGGTCTTTGATGACAGGTGAGGAAGGATAATTGTGCACCTCCTTTCAGTTAAGTCTGAAGACTGTTGCTTTAAATGTGGTGACAGACATCTTGCGTTCAGAAGGAAAAAGTCCACAGATCCACCTAAGGGTTTAGCTATTGGCTGTGTAACACTAATATGTAGCAGAGCTTCCCAGTACACCACTTCTGCTGTCCCTGCGTCAGAAATTCTTGAGATGAGGGATCTTACCGATGCCTGGTTCAACCTCCAGCCTGCACATTTACTACACTTCTGTATTGCCAAGCACGCAGCTTGTTCTTGAACAATTCCGGGGCTGAACAGCCTTCTCTAGCAGCAACCCCTTTATTATTGGTGCAGTTCTCATACGGAGTGGTGTCTTTATTTCGGGTACAGAGGTTGAGGCTGAGCGCTGTTGTATGGAAAGAAATGATAAAGTGGTGTTACTGACAAGGTGAGAGGAGGAGAATTTAAGAATAAAGTGGAACAATTGGCCTTTGGAGAAAGGGGGTGCTCTTGGTGGTTATGGAGTAGAGAGCTTGGTAGTTGGGTGCTTTTGCCTGTGAGCCTCTGTGTTTTCCCTGAAGAATTTCTTTGTTGAGCCTGTGTTTTAAGAACAGACAAGTTTTGAAGCTGTAGTTACAAAGAGTAGAAAAACGTGTTGACCAGAGGATGCTCAACTGAGTCGTGGGTCTTAAATACAAAGTGTTTTCTTCACTGTGTTAAGTAATTTTCTCCATAGTAAGCACATAGAACATGGAGGTGTGATATACCCAGAACTGAATGTGTATGTATGCACGTACATATATATTCAATGTTGTACTAAATGTCACACAAAGACATGTGGTCCAGCATGCCAGACTAAGGAGTATAGCTTTGCCACTTCATGACTTGACTCTCTTCTGCCTTCATTTTCAAGTATCATATCCAGAGAGAACTCTTCCCTTAATTTACTCTTTCTTTCTGTTACTCTGTGAAGAAAATGGTACATTTTGATGTCTTTTCTAGCTAGTCCTTTCACTTCTGGTCTAAATTCTGACTGAAATAATACTACTTTTCTCTGTTGTCTGTCTACTAGAATAACAGCTGCAAAAAGACAGGGTTTTTCAGCACCGCTCAATAAAGTGCCAAGAAATTGTAGGCACTCAGTAAGGCTGTGTTGAATAAATACAATGGAAATAATGGGCCATGAGATATAATTTGGATATGAGCAATGAAGATAAGAGATATGAAAACAGGACATAAAAGGTAGCAGAGTAGTGCAACCTGAAGAGCCCTGTTGACTTGTGAAAGGGTTACTTCAGAGGCAGGTGGAAGCAAGCTCTAAGAATAGGAGATTGATGATAGAATGAAGAACACCTGGGAGCTATGAGACAGTGCCACTTGGAGTCAGGATTAAGAGTGATATACTGGGACCATCAGCGAGTGGCTTTTGTGTGCTGAAAATAGTTGTCCAAAAATATGTTAATAGAACATAATCCAAGCAAAATGGAACTCATGTGGAAAGATATATTATGTAAGTGCAGGAGTCCTCACAAATCAATGAAGTGAAATAGACTTTCAGACCTTGAAGACACTGTTGTAGCTACTGAAAAGGTAAGAAAAGATCTCTTAAAAACAACTAGGATACAGGAAAAAATAATTCATCACCTGAAAGACAATGCAAAGATGAACAACGTAAGACTAATAGGCATCAATGAAAAATGATATAAAAAGAATATGGACAGAAGTAATAGCAGAAAACTTCCCACATATGGGGAAACAATCTGACTTTTCAGGCAACCGAAGCATATAGAACTCCAAATAACATCAACCCAATTAAAAACACATCAAGACATATAATAGTCAAGATCCCAGAAATTCAGCTCAGAAACAGTATACTAAAAGCTGCTAGAGAAAATAAAACAGATCACATTTAAAGGAAAACCCATCAGAATAACAACAGATTTCACAAAACATCAAGTCAAGAAGAGCATGGAGCAAAGTATTTCAGGTCTTGCAAGAAAACAAATTCCAACCCAGACTGATATACCCTGCAAAACTCTTTGAAGTATAATGGAGAAGTGAAATATTTCCATGACAAAGAACAACTTTAGAATTTCATGATGATAAAGCCAAGCCTACACAGACTACTAAAAGATGTTCTATAGAGGGAGCAAAATGGCCATTAACTCCATGAATGAGAATGGAAAGAACCCGCCAAATAGAGCAAACAAACACAGGAGAATGAGAGGTATACAACTGCAGTCCTTCAGTTACCCTTTTGTATACAGCAGCAAAATATTTCCATCAACATACTCTACAAATGGGCTTCTCCTGCACCCCATGAGTCATCATTCTGTCTGGGTCTACAGGGTGGATATCAGGGAAATAGCAGTAGCTCAGTCCCACAAGTGACACCTGGCCACCCGTAAGCATCATGGACACT